TGATAAGTTTGACAATCTACGAAGCGTTATGTTTTTACGTAACATGGATATGCTCCAGTATTCAAATAGTCAATAATTCAAGATATTATTTTATTAAAACATTGTAATACTAATTGTTCAAAAAATCAGCTGTATCAAGATTAAAAGGGTAGAAATGAAATTTAGCAGTTTTGAAGACTGCAACTACTTGACACTTCACACTATAATCTGCATATCATTCAACATCTGTGACAAATAAATCCTACAAGATTTTGCTAGCGAAAATTGCAATTGCCTAGCCTATCAAGCTTACATATTATTGATTCCTATTTGGTAAATTTTTATGTGTCAGCTACATGGATGGATGATTCACGTTTAGACGCTAGTGTCAGAACCCTTTACTTAGAAATTCAATGGAAACTTCTCAGTTGAATATTTTTTTTGTGAAGGAAAAATCATCTCTTTTTCAACATCGCCAAAACTCGCAAAATGAGCGGGCCTCTGCCGAATACAAAAATTTTACTGGAAATAAACGAGCTTCTATCACAATGTTCCACCTATGTTAACTGCTCACACTTCTCATGTCAAGGCTTCATCTGAAATATACTACAGAAGCCTTGGCGGTGCAGCAGATAACACGTTACTATCCGAAAAAGAGAATCGCAAGTTCGATGTCTAACCGAATAGCCGAGTTTTGCTTGTATCTCGTTATTTTAAGTTTATTTAACTTCTCATTCCAGTTAGTTGTCTCTTATTCAACGACTTTATCCTAGATACTTAACACATTGACAACGACGTTGTAATCCTGCGCGGCGAGTGCGGCGGCTACAATGACGTTGTGGTAATTTTCTTATGAAATGTGGATTTTTATCGTCACTAAAGGGAATTTTGCCGCCATTAAATTGTAAAATATGATAGAAGAGACTTCGACAAAGCTATCTGTAGCAGAAATAATTGCGATGCTTTCTCCTAAAATCTCAAATCTTGAGGGAAAAGGCTGTTACTTACTAAAAATGATATTTCGAACTGTTACTGAACATCGTTATGTCATCTTACATAAAGAGAATAAAATTAAAGTCATTTCACAGAGCGAATTCAGTGCGAGATTAGGCATTCCTCAAGCTATCGAAGGACTACAAAAACACGGATTCGAAAGAAAGAAATGAAGTTACATAACAACTGAAAGTATATTCCCTTTCACAACAGTCAGCTTTTCCCGTTGAAAGATAGATGATTTTTCGATACAGGGCATTCTCTGAACTACAAAACTTTCTATAGAAGTCTCTTCTGGTATATTTCGTCAGTTCGACACGATAAAATGCCCTCAGTACCTCAGATTACCAAATTCCCATGTCTCCACTGCAAGGAGTGATAATAAAGACTCCCACAGCACCGCGCCGGCGTGCACGAGCTGCGGTCTGAGCTAATAACAGCTCACATCATTGTTAGTGTGTTGAACGACCTCTAATCACATAACGTTAGAAAGTCTAGCACTAGTTTCATTCATTCCGTTTTCCAGCAATGGCCATTCATGGTGCTAGCTACAGGGTGGGTTCGGCTGCCAGTTTTTAATATAGCTTACCATCACATTCTTCCGCATCTCAGCACTTCTCGTATTTATTTGTTTCCTTCCGTGCCTCCTCCATAAAAGACTCGGAACATCTCGCGTAGTTGCGCTTGTTGCTTGAGGGCTTCACCTTCTCTATTAGTGTCGTGGAATACTGGTTAGAAGGTCCTTCATACAATATCGCAGAAAGCTAATCTGTGGCCATGGCGTCCCCACGTGTACCAACTGGACATTGATTCAGCTTTTGACAGACGCAGAGAGCTTTTTCAATTCATTTAGAATTCATCTCTTTAGTCTCATCGAACACTTACCATCTTTTTCTCTTACCATATCGTTGCTTTACTGATATTGTTCCCGCATTCCCGCAGCCTGGACCTTAGCAAAATATTCAACTTTACAAACGAGCTGAAAAGGTCTAAATAATAAAAGCTGACTCCATATTTTGAATGGACATTTCACGCTTCATCAATAAGCGCGGACATTTATTTCACATGGAAGCATAAGACGCGGTGGTCAGAGGTACCCCATGGCAATCACAGGGCTTTGGCGCCCAAAGCTCACCATGTCTTCCAGGCCTCCAGTGTGGGTGAATTGGTACCAGACCTATCTTAAGTCATAGCAGCACCGATTTAATGTATCCGATAGGTCGCTGCGAATCTTTGTAAAAGCCAGATATGCACTCAGTGAGATCTAAAGTTGTCCGATGAGATCGAATGCATCGTACATTCCTCAAGGAATAATCAACATCAAAAGTTTTACAGCTTGTGTTGTCCTGATGACAAATGGAGCTCGAAAAGCGCAATGGTTAGAGATTCCACGCAGTAATACGCCCATGGACGTTGGATTGACTTTATGGTGCACTGCGCAAGAGCCCTTTGCACCAAAGTCGAAAAACACACCAGATACTTTCTATAATTATTATTTGAGCCACATGTCATGTAGTCTGCTAACGGGCTCTTCCACAGCCCGATACACGTGTTTTGACCTTACAGTCTCGTCAGTCGGGCACAACTCGACGTCTTTTGGTCTTTTTAGTCAATCCTCTCGGGATTACTCGGAAAAAAAGGCTGAAAGACGACGGTTCTGCCCGACTCACGAGACTGTAAGGTCAAGACACGTGTATCGGGCTGTACAAGAGCCCTCACCAGGCCACATGACATGTTAGCTCAAATATAATTATGAAGTATGATGAAATTTGAGCATGGTCTTAATAAAACACTCGAAATAAAGACACCAGACACTATTTTTAGGCTGGTTAATGCAAGTAATGAAAACCTGGGAACGCTCTTATTGATCTTATGCAGTGTTCAGGTAAAAGATTTTATGAAAAATTAGAATAGCAATAGTAAAATCGAAAATCTCAGGCGGCTTATGAACCCATGCGCAATCCGAAGAAATATAAGTTGAAGAAAAAGTTTCTTAACACCCGCCAAAAGTCCAACTTTAATGTTTGTTTCACACAGTATCAATTATTATAAATTCATGGGGATATCTTAGGAATATTTCTATAGGAGGGCAGTTGGACCGAGTCTACTATGCGTCGAACCAAAAGTATCCGGCACTGACTCGTCGAAAGCGCGCGTTATTTCAGCAAGACAATGCCAAACCTTACACCGCGGAGAAGGCTAAATAAAAGTTTGATAAACTGAAACGAATTGAGCACTTAGCTTACAGGGTAGATGCAGCAATATTCGACTATGGTCTTTCCCGCACAATGGAACATTTCCTGTGTGGACGCCGAATCGAGATATTTGTTAAATTGAAGTGACATGTTAGAATTTTTTGATTCAAAACCCAAGGAATGCCGATTTTGAGCACATCCGAAAGCTTGCAGATCGTTGAGAGAAGATTGTGGGTAATGGTAGTCTTTGTTTTTAAGGACAATTATTGTTGTTTTTTCCTCGACCTAATAATTTGAAAGACGACTTTTGATCTCGGCAACAATATACAGAAGATACTGCTCACATCCAGGCTCTGAAGAAGGTGAATTCACCGAAACGTCAGCCAACGAGCTGTACTGTTATCTCTGCTGATACTACAATTGCTAACTTCGCGTTTAAGAATCCTTCGTAGATGATAAATACAAGACAGTTAATCGATCGAGTTGGTTGTCAAAATCCGCGATCTATGTGGCGTTGGGTTACATAACAATAAAACTTAGGATTAATGTCCACTGTTTTGTGTATTCGCCGTGAATAGAAGTCAGTGCGTGTCGGCCGATCAGCCGCATAACATATATAAATTGAACTCGCATAGAGCATAATTGTTGAACAATCTTCTTCTTATCGACTGAACAACTCTGGATTTTACTTAATCTCTTTTCAGTTTGCTATATTATTCGAATACTTCAATGGTGTCAGATATTCTTGGCTCTTACCGCACAAATCACTACTATCATATCGATGATATTTTTCATAAAAAATAAATGATGTGACTCAAGAAAACAGGTCTTCATTCCTCATATTCGCACACTCGTCTATCTCATTCCCCCTAACGCGATTTTGTGCAGTTCTCGATCGGCGTACAGTATCCCCACTGATCCTTGAGGAATAAACAAGTTACTTAGACAATTTTATCCAAAAACATCAATGTCTTCACTACCAACACCGTTCTACGTCAATATTTGCCTAATCATCATATCGAGATCGAGAGCACACAAATGCAATAAATATTTGATGGAACTCTTCGTATTTTATACCTATGTTGTGAGCACAACAATCGCAAGTAATAGTGAGTTCGGATCACTATGTCTTTCTTGCTTTTTCCTCTTTTTTGTTTTTTTAATGGCATCTTCTTTCAGAACTCTTGGCGAATACAAATTCTTTTTCCTGACATTGTCAATGTTCAAAGAAAGGCTCAATTTTTACAAGAACGAAAATGAGAATGTTAATTTGATAATTGGTAGGAACTTTGCTACTAGAACACACAAATAAATTCACACGAAATGTGACATTAATAACGGATCCGTACTAGGTGTAGAAAATATGAATGTGGTTATTACAGTAGCGCTTGGAGATATATGAGGCTACTGATTATTATATATATAATCGGCCTAAAATGCTGAAAAATACGAATAATGTCATAGAACAACAGAAACCACGTAATAATTAATAAGCTGAATCAGGGACTGAAAACAGGTGATTCGTGCGAAAGACAGTACAAAGTCACAAATGTCACGTTGCTGCATTAACAAATTTTGGGCAACAGGGAAAGTAATCAGAAGAATATGACATGTTATTAAATCTGCATTGCTTTGAGTACTCGAATAGTGGTTGTCATTCAGTTTTCGGCTACATGGCCCAAGGAAACAGAGTAGACCCTGTGCTGAATATTTTAATTTTTCTAAGCAACATGAATTAATATGCTTGAGAGAAACGAGTAGTAGCAAAAATCCAACTTCAGACGGGAGTTGAATCCGTGTTTCACCCATACCGAAGCGAGTGCTACCCTCGTGGCCACGGTGGTGTAGTGTTAGCACGCGTCTCTGGTATGGGCGAAGCGCGCGTTCAACTTCCGTCTGTGGTCACGTTTATGCTTACCACTTAATTCGCCTAGGTATATTAGAAGCATCATAATACAGCAAAAAAAACACTTGAGAAATCCAAGGAACTTTGAACATGAGTTAATATTCTTCCACTCAATTGAAATAGCACGAGGTTATTATGGAAAAACGTCTTTTCCAGAGCTTCATTGATCAGGGCCGTTGACCCACACCCGGTCGTTGTCGCGATGTGGGTGATCGTCGTAGCATCGAGTCCTATCCAATGAAGGTAGCGTCGTTTGAATCAAGAATCTCACTCGGTGGTACTGTTCTATAGTGGAGTGTTTCAGTTGATTACCATCACCCAAGATAATCTCTTTATGGCGGGTGATGCATTCTATAGCAGATGGTAGACAATTTGCTGCTACTTCGAATTATTGCAACTTACTCCTAAAAAGTTCTGTGTCGAAATACAAGGCATGACAATGTATTATTGCCTAGGTGTTCCAACAATTTGCGCTACCGCAAACATTCCAAAAGAATCGCAATCACAGAAGTGGCGAGAACGCCTCCAATCATTCACTGTGGCTTGCAACTGCCTATGATGAGATAGTGAGAAGTCTTTGCATAATAATCGAGTTTCCGGATAGCCTCATGATCAATTTGAGTCCAAAATACCAATGAGATTATGAGAAAGCAATCCTAATGCTCGAACCGAACTTACGCGCAAACTCAACCACTTCAGCGGATGAGTACATGCATTGAAAAGGAAACGTAACGAGACCTAATGGCCATCGTCTACATAACAACCATTAATCAAGGCCTCGCTCTTTATTCCAAAAAGATATCACAAAGCACTGGTTACAGATATCCAGCAAAGCACCCACACATTTTACTGGTTTGATCAAGCAGTTATCAAGCCTTCTATCCCTCCGAGGTCGGAACATGGGCGTTAGTCTTGTCTGATAGGATACCAAGCACACAGTTGATACATCGGCAGGTCATCACGAGTATTGTAAAAGAACAAAAATCCATTCATGCACCTCTAATGATGCTTTGTGAGGTCGAATGCATAACAGTTTATGAAGTTTTGATCAGCAGCACTTCATCGTTTATCATTGCATAGACAGAAAGCTCAAACAATTATTTTGTGTGAAACACTGCTCAAAATTAGAAAAAAAAACAGTTGAATTCAAATTATGATGTTATAACTGTCTGATCACACATGTCTTTACCAGTTCATCACTACCAATGATATTCATATTATATCTTTTATTTTCTGAACATTTTACAATTACTAAGAATCTGATAGATCTAACGCTACATGTAGGCTCATCACACACAAAAATTTTTCAGAAAAAAAGACGAAAAAATGCAAACAACACGATAGAATCTCTAAAATGAAGATCAAACTGAGAAAGAAAATTGCTGACTGGATGAAATGCCAATGCAGAAAGCACTAGGGTCAAATATGTCTTGAGTAAACTAAACAGCTAGAAAAAACAGCTAGCATTTCTAAGGAGATATCGATATTTGAAGAATGAGATCATTTCCTTTTATGATGTTAAGTAACCTGATCGAATGCACCATTGGGTGGCAACCTGAAAAATAATACTATTCAAATAGATTATTTAGCAGTTTATCTGATCGCTTTATTCAAATGAGCCTTATAAGCGCTGACTGAAGGTCTTAAGCACTGTTGGTTCATTCTATGGGCCAAATATAGAGTTCAATCGGTTCCATAAAGGGCGATAAAGTTGTTGGCTCATCTAAAGCTTTCGTCCCTGACATCTAATACCCGTTATGCTTGCAGAACTCGTTATATGATCAAATGGTGACAAAAGCCGATAAGACAGTCAAACTTTGGAATGCTTAGCTTCTGCTAGAAGTTTGGTCACTTCAAAAATGTGAAAGTTTCTGACATTCAACAGTGAACATTTGTAGTGAAGACGAAATGATGACGATCACTTGGCAGTTGAAGTCAAGAAGGAGAAACATAGCCCAGTAAGCCAAAATTCACCAGTCATGTAAGAAATGCGCCAAGGTTTTCATAAAGTTGTGAAGGATTCGTCAAGATATTCAAAGAGGTATCCAAGGAAGAGGTACGCCAATTTTGGAATTTTAGCGAGGGGACTTCAAATGATTTCAAACATGTGTTCATTCGAACCTCTACCTGATGGCCATAATTTATCCTTGACAACTATTAACTTATCCTTGAACTTTGACTGATTTTAACTGTTTCTGTTTGAGAAATGGAGATTTTTCGTTGGCTGAGTTGTGAAACAACCTGATCTTTTACAGGTTCTGAAGAAAATGAGACCTCCGCAACGTCAGCTCTCAGGATAAATTGTGTTATAAAACTCGTGTTTCGCTTGAAAAGTTAAGGAATCATTCTCAAAGTCACAGAAAATGTTTTGAATCAGTTCAAAGTTCAGATGTTAATGGCTTATTCTAGACTGGAATAGAATGGTGAAAACGCGGAAACCAAAACTTCACGCTGTTACACCGTAACAACGTTTCACCGTTCCTACCATTAGTAGGAGGACTTGCGGGGCGTGTGGCTCTGATGAGGCAGGTGAGACCACCAAAACATACTAAACTGCTAACGTACCAACCTCAAAATGGCTTAAAACATTCTCTCCGACTATACTGAATGTTTATATCGAAGTCATACAAATATCAATCGAATGTAAGATGTACTCTTGAAGTCTCGTTTCTTTGCATCTTCGCATGTAAAAATTCTCACAAAAGTGATCATAATTGAAAGCCTTATCGTATGACATGCAAGATCCCATTGTTAGAGCGATTCAACGACACTCATTTTCAAAAAAGTGACGAGATTTTGGTGAAGAAATGTACAAAACACTTTATCCCTTTTAGAATCAAATGAAGCCAAACGTTTCAATCGACTATTTTGAGACCTCGTTCAAAAGCAAAATAATCTGATAACATATTTGCAGCCTGTTATGTGTCTAACACTTCATCAGTGCCGTAAACAGACCTCTATGTAAAGGATATGTCCCGAGAAACTGACCGAACGAAAAGGCACCGTGTTACTGATGAGGCCGGAAGGCTGAAACACGTGCTTAGCACTTTATGAGTGCCGTAATAGACTCATGAAAGGCTCAAAATATGTTATCAGAATTATTAATCAGAACTCTTAACAAGAATTCTCCACAGTGAAGAGAAGAAGAAGCGTACGCAAGGAAAGACCTAGTCATCGATGCGCTGCTGTATTTGTGAAGGATATCATGACAGAGGTGCTAACCCCGTTACCGTAGCAGGATAATTCGAGTTTCGCATTCGGATCGGAAGGATGATAGGTGCGAAAACGACAGTACGGTATGTCTGTCAACGTGGCGTCGAACAATCCTCCACGTGCGGCCACCGTACGAAATTCGCTGATGGTCACTGTCGAGTTGAAGAGAATCGACTTGATCATCCATGGAAAGGAAAGTGCTCGCCATAACTGAAATCAAGCCTAAATGGTGATGATTCGCAAATCTTAGATAACCATAAATAACGTATTAACGCAAGCACATACTCTTCAAAAAAAACAAGACAAGAAATGCTCAATGACATGATTGGAAGAATTAAAAAGATTTTCAGAAAATTCCAGAACAGAGCAAAGAAACCAATTAATACATTTCAACAGCCTGGTAACCTTACTTTTATCTTCCATAACCAGCCGACTAAAATACGTCTTTCTAGCTTTCAAAAACTACTGAACATTTTTCAAGATGCTGGACTATTTGAAAATAAAACTTCAAGATCATGTTACAGACATATTAAGAAGAATAACTGCAATAAAGCATCGTGGAAGAAAATAGACTAACGTTGATAAAGTGACACATGTCGGAGGCGTTTATAGCAGTGATAGCAGCCGGTGATTCAGAAAAGACTGAGAAATCCAGATAACGAACGTGAGCGGCCGCTAGTGAAGTGAGTAGAGATCCTGAGAAGGATTTTATTTTCCAATTCAGTTACATTAGTTTTTCGGATTTCTTCGCATAAAAAATATTGTCTGAACTTTATGCGTGCAGGTTTCGTTGTCAACTACTCTTTCTTTAGAAAAATGCAAATAGTTACCGATATATATAATAAATAGCAGCATTTCAGGACTCACAAATGATATGATTTTTACACTGTATGCAAAGACTCTCTAGAAAAGATGTTTCATGGAAATCATGGTTTTATATATTTTTAGTTTTACTGATTTTTTCTAAAATAAATTGTTTTGTGAGAATTCGAATAATGTTTAAAAAATGTCCATAAAGGTCGAAATAAAAAATCAGTGCAGATGCAAATAGGTTCTCGATTTACAGCGGAGAATTTTAAAATTCAAACAAAAGCTCATAGATGCTTTACTCACACGGAAAACACTTTTTGCTTGTAAAACATTAACCAATGAAGAAAGAACCTTGTACATCCACCAAAGAATATTCTCGACCTCCTTCTGATGTTTTGCATCAAGACGCATCCGTATCTCTTTCAATTTTCCCAAATCTACAGCCGCTTTAATACCGCCGAACACCTCGGAGTCGATCATATTTTCCAGGACCTTAACGAAAACCTTATAAGTTCATACAAAGTTGAAATAACTTGGTATTCAATATATGATTTGAGAAGTTTGAAAAACATCATTATATCAGCAAATATTAAATTAACACACCAAAGACTCAAGATTTCGAAAGGATGACAATCGTTTCAGCGACTCCCTTCCCATGCACCATGAAAAGTACGGGTTTTGCGAGCATAGCAGTAGCGACCTATGAAATAAAAAAGGCACATTTAAAAAGATTATTAAAAAAAACGTTTTCGAGCAATTATAAATTATTGTATGAGAAGCAGATGTGGTAGGTGACTCCATCAAAATTATTCGTACTGTATCTCCAAAAAAATGTCAGGCACTTATTTCCAACTGTACTCTATCTCATATCAACGACTTTCTCCCCGAACGAATAACACTGACACAAAAAAGGGTTGAACCTGGGAATGAGAATTGGATGAAAAAGAATTTAAAGTAACGGAAAATAAATTATCTT